GGAGGAGGAGGAGAAGGAGGAGGAGGAGAAGAAGGAGGAAGAGGAGGAGGCAGAGTGAGATCAGACCTGCACAGGCAGTGCCCACCAGCCAGAGGAAGCGGGCAGAAAAGCATGGAGACAGGGCGGCGCTGGAATCCGCTCGACTCTTCGCCCGCCCCCCTGGGGAGGAGGGAGGAGGGGCAGCCCCTCGACCCTTGGATTGGGTCCGGCCTGTCCCCCTACAGGGGGATTTTGGATGAAGAATAACAAATACTGAAAACATACCCAAACGATGATCAAAAATATACAAAAAATAGTCCCCAGACTATTTTTGTTACTATTGTGGAACATTCCCCCTGTAGAAGGACAGGCCCAACTTAACCCTTGGAGTAGGAAGGCGCCTAGAGAAGACCGGGATCCGGGAGTCCGAGAGCACCCACTTCCTCCGACCGGCGTACTCTGGGCTTCTTGATGAGCGTGAGGGGGGACCCCCCCGATGGGGGTCAGCCTCGCCTCGCCGTCTCGCCGCGACGGGGGTCGGAGCGCCTTCGGCGCCCAGCGGCTGCCCGCGACGGGGGTCGATGTGGGGCTGTCGGCGGGGGTGACGCCCCCCCGACGCTTACAGTCAACCAGTATAGTAAGGATGGGCGATAAGGATGCAATGGCCTTGGACGCCCATGTCGAAGCTTTTCGAGCGGGGCGCGGCCAGCAAAGCGGCGAAGGATGGACCGAGGAGGCAAGGATGCAAGGGCACCCTTGGGAAGGTCGCCTATCCTTACTGCGGGCAACACTTATATCCATATCCAGAGCGTCGTGGACTTTTTGGAAAGGGGTGCCGCAAGGCCGAGGCGCACTGGATATGGATAAACATCAAGCCTTCTGGGGCCAGATTTTGATCCATATATCCAGTGCGACTCCGGTTTCTGGGGAAGGAGGCCCGAAGCTGAAAGACACACTGGATGTGGATATAGCTACAGTCGGGGCCTTGACCTTAAGGAACCCAAAATAAGGAACGAGGCCCCGTTTTCCCATCAGTGAAGGTTCGATGTCCCAACGAACACCTGAGGAAAACCTAGGGCAAACTGTGAAACAATCAAGGAACACGGAGCCCCTCCCCAACGAAAAGGGTTCCTTCTTCAGCGCCCCGACTCTATTGCCCGCACTTCCTATGATGACGAACCAGCAACACACACCCATACCCATAGGGGGATCGGAGAGGGCTATGGGTGCGTGTTGTCGGATGGGGGTCCCCGCTCGAACGGGAGCGTTCCCCAGGGTCCGACAACCCGCACCCGTACCCATAGCCAGTCCTCCTCCCAACGACCTCCCTATGGGTATGGGTGTGTGTTGCTCGTTCGTCACTATGCGGGCTGACTGTATTCAGAAATTCGGAGCAGACTGTCAAAAAGCTCGCGCCGATCCGGGACGCCCGCGCGGAGCTCTGAAGGCCTGCCGTCCTGCGGGCCTCTCCTCCGAGCGAGAGGGCGGAGGAGGGGGAGGAGGAGGAGGAGCAGGAGGGGGAGGAGGAGGAGGAGGAGGGGGAGGAGGAGGGAGGAGGAGGAGGAGGAGGAGGAGGAGGAGGAGCGAGGAGGAGGAGGAGGAGGAGGGGTGGGAGGAGGAGGAGGAGGAGGAGGAGGAGGAGGAGGAGGAGAGAGGAGGAGGGGAGGGGGAGGAGGAGGAGGAGGAGGAGGAGGAGGAGGAGGAGGAGGAGGAGGAGGAGGTGGAGGGGGAGGAGGAGGAGGAGGAGGAGGAGAGGAGGAGGAGGGAGGAGGAGGAGGAGGAGGAGGAGGAGGAGGAGGGGGAAGGAGGAGGGGGGAGGGGGAAGGAGGAGGAGGAGGAGGAGAGGGGGAAGGGGGAGGGCGGCGGCGGAGGAGGAGGGGTAGGAGGAGGCGGAGGAGGCAGAGTGAGATCAGACCCGTCAGGCGGGGCCCTCCTCCGGGCGAGAGGGCGGGGGACCCGGCGGCGCGCGCGCACGGTCAGAATACGTTGAAGACGCTCTGGCCCCGTGGTCCGTTGGCGCCACCGTGGCGCCCACGGGGGCGCGGGGCGCAACCGCGCTGAGGCCCCCCACTCCGCAGGTGGAGCCTACTCCTCTTCTTCCTCCTCCTCCTCCCTTCCATTTCTCCTCCTCCTCTCCTCCACATCCTCCTCCTCCTCCTCCTCCTCCTCCCCACTCCTCCTCCCCCGCTCTATGATCCCCCACTCAGGCGAGGTCGCCGATACATACCGCGGTTCCCCGGGCCTCGCCTGCGATATGGGAACGAGAGCTGCTCAGGACCACCGCAGAGTGCTCCTGCCAAGAGCCCCCGACGAAACAGTCACGTGTGCAAATCTCGAATGCGCTCCTGGACTTACCGAGCCCTGGGACCATCAAAAGCGGAGCCGGCGCGAAAAACTCACCCCGGGAAGGGCCTCGAGGATGCCCGTGTCCACCACCTGCCGAGGTCCCCGAAAGTGGATCCCAGGGTTGTCCAATCAACCCGTATCGTAAGGACGCACGATGGGGAGACAAGGGTCTTGCAAGGCCATGCCGACAGGAGCGCCTTCGGCGCGCGGCGGCTCCCCGCGACGGGGGTCAATGTGGGGCTGTCGGCGGGGGTGACGCCCCCCCGACGCTTGCAGTCAACCAGTATAGTAAGGATGGGCGATAAGGATGCAAGGGCCTTGGGCGCCCATTTCGAAGCTTTTCGAGCGGGGCGCGGCCAGCGAAAGCGGCCAAGGATGGACCGGGGAGGCAGGGTTGCAAGGGGACCCTTGGGAAGGGTGCCCATCCGTACAAGTATACACATCCCAGAATGCATTCCGAACACCCAGAACAGTACTCCAGGTCTCTCATGAAGCGTGGGGGGGTGGATCGCGTGGGCGGGTGGGCAAAAGCTGTCCTTCGGGGGGCGTGGGGAGGTTGGGGAGCGAGAAGGGGTGGGTTTGAGGCGCGTCGGGGGGCGTGCAAGGGGCGTCGGACAGGTTGGCACGGGGGGGGTGCTTATTGAAGGATCTGAAGTATCGAAACAGTATCCATCCGACACGCTAAGAAAATGTCGAAGGAGCATCGCGCCCCAGGGCCCGACACAGTATTTTTGGTGGTGCTCGACAATCTTTCTGGTGGTCAGGGCTAGAACATGTTCAAATGCGTAAAATGCGGGTTGACTGCATCCCTAGGTCGGGCATGTCCCCCTACACGCGGATCGGGTGAGACAAATGAGAGATGGTCGAACATCTGCAAAAACAGCCAACAATAGTTCAAACATCGTCCCCCGATCATTTTCGGACTATGTTTGAATTGTCATTCTGTTCAGAGGGACATGCCCGACTTAACAATCGCATCCATCTCGATCCCCTGGTTGCACTTCGTGAGAAGCCCCCGCCTCGGATTCCACAGGCACGCCCAGGCGAATGCCACCGTGCAGCGGTGTCGGCCTCTTTCTGTTTGCCCAGCCTTGGAGCCTGCGGCATCGGCATCTCTCCCTTCGATCCCCTGCCCCGGCGAACGGCGAACAAAACACCGGGCAGCTCGCCCCTTGGCCTCCCGCCAGCCCCACGCCAAGGGGGCGAGCATCTATATGTATATATATATATATATACACATATCTGTACATATATATATATGTATATATACGAGCGCAGCACCGCGCTGCATGCGTAGCCTTCGGCTGGGCCAGGCAGGGCAAGACCCAACGCTGTATCGCGTGGCGCGTGGCTGCCCGCACCGACCACGACTCCTCGCAGGCCCTACCTCCGACCCCCCTCTTTCGGCACCGCCTCTCCGTCCTCGTCCCCCGTCCTCCGGCTCCTCCAGCTCCTCCTTCCCCCGCCCTCTCCCTCCCCTACTCCCACCTCGTCTTCCGCCACCTCCGCCCTCCTCGACGTCCACCTCCTCCTCCTCGCCCGCCGCCTTCCCCTCTTCCTCATCCTCCTCCCCACCAGTCTCCCTCCCCCCCCTCACGACGTCGGTATCCTCCTTCCCTCACCGCCCACCTTCTCCTTCTCCTTATCCTTCTCCTCCTCCTCCTCCTCCTCCTTCTCTCCTCCTAGGTGCCATCTGCGCTGAAGCCGCATTGGCCACCCCCGTGGGAAAGACCCTGAGCGCTCCCTCCGCGCCTGGTGTTTCGAAACGCTGGCACGAGAGTAGCGGGAAGCTGTCCGTTAATGCAGGATGAAGATTAATACAACATAGGGGGAACGATTGAACAAAATAGTTTCTTTGATTTCCATAGAGATTTTTCAACGGGAGGAGGACGATTCAAAAAATATGTATATTGCACGTCGGCTTCGAATATTGTGTCGAATACTCATTTCACGTCGTCCTCGAATTTTACGTTAAATAACCATTCGACGTCGACATCAAATTTTACGTCACATATCAATTCTACATCGGCTTCAATTTTTTACGTCGAATACTCGCTCCACGTTGGCTTCAGACGTTATGTGTAATGCTCATTTGACGTTTGATTTAAATGTTACGTCAAATGCACAATCCACGTCGAATTAGAGTCCCACAATCAAAACTCAATTTGACGTCGGGCTTCAGGTCGAATTCAGTTTTATCAGGGAAAAACTCAATTCAAGTTTTACCGTCAAAACGCAAATTCACGCCGTTCAAGCGCGCGCCCGAGAACGGCAGGGGAGGAACGATTGAAAAAATAGTGTCCCAATTCGCGGCCGGTTGTTTCTAATCATCCTCTGGGGCGTCGCCGACGCAACACGACCCCCGGTCATTTGTTAATCGTCATTCTACATTACGATGTGTCGGAAACTGTCTCGTTGGCGACGGCAGTGGCGCCATGCGGTGGTCCCGTTGGCGACGGCGATGGCGTGATGCGGTGGTACGAACCCCTCGCTGAAAACTGCCAGCGAAATGTCCTCACACCCCTCGATGGAGACTGTCAGCGAAACGTCCTCAACGCCCCTGCCCTCCTACTGCAAGCGAAATATCCTCACCCCCGGACCTAAAAGTGCCAGCGAACGATCCTCAACCCCCTGGCATAAAAAAAACTACCAGCTAAATATCCTCACCCCCCGGACCTGCGAAATATCCTCTCACCCCTCCTTTAAACTGCTGGCGAAGAATCCTCACCACCTAGCCTAAAACTACCAGCGAAATCTCCTCACCGCACTGGCATAACACTGCCAGCGTAACATCCTCACACCCTTAAGCGAAATATCCTCACCCTCTGGCCTAAAACTGCCAGCGAAATATCCTCACCGCCCCTGCCCTGCCGGCGAAATATCCTCACCCCCTGGACTTGAAACTGCCAGCGAAATATCCTCAACCCCCTGGACTTGAAACTGCCAGCGAAATATCTTCAACCCCCTGGTCTAACACTGCCAGCAAAATCTCCTCAACCCCCTGACGTGCGAAATATCTTCACCCCACTCCTTTGAAAACTGCAAACGAAATATCCTCACCCCCTGACATAAAACTGCCAGCGAAAAAAAACCTCGACCCTAGGCCTAACACTGCCAGCGACGGATCCTCATCCCCAGGCCTAAAAAAAACTGCCAGCAAAAAATCGCCTAAAACTCCAACCGAAATATCTTGTACCCCGTGACTTCCACTAACAGCGAGATATCCTCAACCCCCGGCCCCAAAACTGCCAGCCAAATATCCTCACCGCCCCTTGCCTAAAATTTGCCAGGTAAATATCCTCAGCCCCTGGACGTAGCCAGCGAAATGTCCTCACCCCCCTGGCTTAAAACTGCCAGCGAAATATCCCCACCCCCAGAAAAAAAAACTGCCATCTAACGGCTTTGGCGATTCAGTTGTCAGTTCAGTCAAGCAGTCAGTCTACTTCACGAAAACCGACTTACGGGCTGTGCCCGTAACACAGGAGCCGCAGTGTGCGTGTGCGGGTCCTCCATGAATCAAAACTGGCGCTCTATTGGCGAGGAGAGGGCACGTCTGGTTGCTCCCCGGGGCCCCCCTGGCACGTCGGACGGCCAACCTGGACCACGGTTCTGGTCATTCAGGCCCATGCCGAAGACCCACTCGTCGATGTCGAGTGAGCCGCTCCTGGGAGCGAGGGCGTGGGTGGGGGGACAAATGGGGGGGGAGTCCCCAGCATTAGGTCGGGTATGTCCCCCTGCAGGCGGATTTTGGACGAAACAGTTGTAGTAGTCCAAACCTCATCAAACAAATGCTCAAAACTCGTTCACCTACTTTTTTTTCAACTATTTTTGAATATTCCATGCACTCCCAATGTGCGCTCGCTGTGCGGTGCAATCCGTGTGGTGCAACCTAGGCTGAGCATGCTGTGGGATGTCATCTATGCGGTGCAGCATGTGTGCTTCAATCGATATGGTGCACTCGATGTGCCGTAAGATGTGTGTGTGTGTGTGTGTGGGTGGGTGGGGGGGAGCAGGCTAGGTGCAATCCGCATGGTGCAACAAATCCGCGGGCCCTGTCGATGCGTGTGTGTGTGTGTGCGTGTGTGCGTGTGCGTGTGCGTGTGCGTGTGCGTGTGTGTGTGTGTGTGTGTGTGTGTGTGTGTGGGTGGGTGTGTGTATGTGTGCGGGGGGGGCTTGTCTGTTCGAGCCGTCGTCTCCGTCCGTTGTGGTCTCCGTCGTCCCCTTTCCCTGCACCCTCCTCCTCAAGCTAGTCCGCGAGAGAAAAACCGAGCAGTGTTGTAAGCGAGTCGAGGGTCGAGGGGAAGCCCCTGCCCTTTGGTCCCTCCCCCGCCGGAGGGCTCCCTGGGGAGTTCCCGGGGGGGGTCCTCCGGGGGTCCTGGGAGGGGGGTCAGATACGCATCTCCCCCTGGGGGTCGCAAATTGGGCCTCAGGAAATACCAAGACAGGCCAAGTGTGCCCCAGGAGGCCCCCGAGACGGTCCCAGAGGGTCCCCAATCGCCAAACGATCGATCCAAAGCGACGTCACGCCCTCAAGACTGCCCAGGAGGCCTCCAGCACGTTCCCCAAGAAGCCTCCAAGAACACTCCCGAGAGGGCCCCAAGAGGCCAAATTCATTGACTTC